TCGAAAAAGGCTTAGCAAGCGAGAAAATAAAGTTTGTATTTTACCAGATTCTGCCTTGTCTGAAGCAGCAACTCTAAGACTGTCAAATGTCCTTCAGAGGCTGCATAATGAGCCGGCGTTACACCAAACTTATCTCTTGTTACGTTTCTTGCTTTTGCATCTATCAGTTTTTTTACCACTCCCGAAAGTCCTCGATGTGCTGCATAATGCAATGGCGTTCGTCCCTCGTTGTCAAATGTCTATATGCAATAAATCTTTAGTTAGGTCGATGCTGACTGTTCGTTGAAACCAATTTTTTTTTCTGATTTTATTTGTTTTACCAGTATTTTGAAAATTTAGATCTGAATAATTAAATTCTGAATCTAAAGACGAAACAAAAACACGACAGAGCGCTGTAGTTACCTCGGGTAAACCCTGCAATTCATCTAATAGAACATCAATAACTTGATCATTTGACGCAAGAACCGCAAGATGTAAAGCTGTACGGCCATCTTTATCGCGAGCTGTTAGTAATGACCGTTTCCCGCTTTGTAAAAGTCTTGTACCGAGCAGCCGCACAACTCTCGCAGCTGTAGGATAAGTTAAGGATTACCAAAACTGGAAATGAAAGTTTTTTGAATAAAAAATATTAATTCCGAAAAAATTATCTCTTTGTCTTAAGTACTGTAGAAATTAGGATGGTCAAGAAACAAACTGTACGCAAACGGATTTTTTAAACGAAAGAAAACAGTAACTTCTGAAGAAAAAATATGCGGTCATGACTACTAGATACAATTCAACAAACTTATGGCTAACGCACCGTCTGGATATACGCTTGCCGCAGCACACATCAGCGGTGTTTGATTGTTGTCATCCCGTTGATCCGGTTGCAGTTGAATGCTACAATCCAACAAGAGTTCACAGCATGCAACCCTACCACAAGCTGCCGCGTAATGTAGTGCAGATCGTTTATAGTTGTCGAGAGCTTCTTCGTAGAATCTGTCTGGATCATCAACCGCATCAAGCAGTAACTGAATAATTTTTCATAACAACTGGAATCATTAAGCACTCTTTTTTTTGGTTTTCTTAGAATTCAAAAATTTATTGAAACTGGTATACTTTTAAGATTCTTGTGCGTCCTAATTTTGCGGCTAAATGTACCGGCGTTACACCATGGCAGTCTTTCAGTAGCACCCAGGGTATTTCGTGTGGAGCTTGTGATATCTTCAAAATATACTTAAGACATTTTTCTGCATCAGCGAGTACTGCCCAGTGTACAGCGGTTACACCGTTATCATCCCCATCAAAAAACAAAAAACCTTTCCTAAATTGACCAAATTTAAATGTTTCTATCGTATTATAAAGTTCTGTTTTATACTTTGAAATTAACTCAAGCTCATTTTTTTTTAGAGCTGTTTAGCAACAGAAAATGAAGATTATATTTGGGTTTTACTCTTCATCGCTGTACGTAAATGAAACTAAAATAAAAAAAAATAGTCATTTGATTAAAACAAACATACTTGTGCAAATATTGGGCTGGTCGAAGCCGATCGTTAAGCACTGCAAATGTTAACAGCGATCTTTTGCCAGCTTTGATTTCCAGCAATTCGGGATGTTGTTTCAGGAGTTTTTCAAAATTTCCAAAATCACCATGAATCAACAGTTGAAGGGCGTCAGCAAAATACGATTTCATCAAATGCAAAATTTATGTTCCCAATTACCATCTGATTGCATAAGAATGTTATTCCAAGTAAAAAATAAGAAAAAAAAAAGAAAAACTAAAAGAGTAAAATTGACGCTGTCTATCGAAAAAATTTGAAAAATTCAATACAAGAGAAAAATTTGTTGAAAATGATAGATTTTTTTAAATTTGTTTCAGAGAGTTTTTTTTCTTATGCTTCTAATCGACAGATATGCAACAAGGATAGCATTAGTTGAAGAACTGAAAGAAAATTAATTGCAAAAATGAAAAAAAACAATCAAAACCATAAAACTATCCAACAGCGAATATCGTTCGGTTTCAAAATTATATATAAGAACATTTGAAAAAAAAAGATAAGCTAAAAATTCTATTTTTAAATACATTTTTATAGTTTTAAAAAAATTATGAAATAAAATTTTTTTTTTACAAATTTTTCTCATCGTTTTTTTTTTTTTT